CAAATCCTGATATCTACTTTATGGATTGAATCAAAAAGGATAAAGCACTAATATTTCTTCGACATACATGGGTATGTTTATAATCTCTCAATACTTTTAGAAGAAAATATTCCACACCATATTCTTGGAATCTTTTGAACCACCTTATCCATTTTTTGTTAGCTTCAAATTAGAGTTTTATAAAGTTTTTAAAGCATTAAACATTATTCCAGGAACTACAAGACTTCTAGAAACTCAGAATTCTACTAAACTTGTATTATCTTTCCCATAATTCAAAATTTGACTTGGGATCCTAGTCTATGATTAGTATTTAGGACATGAGATACAAAGGAGAAAATTTAGGGAATACCGTGGGTCAAAATTAGTTCACAAATTTCTATTGCACACAAGTAATTGCTTATGACTCAGGTCATTTCCTAAATTTTGAACTCAAAGTTAATGAATTTTAAAAGTTCTATACACTATAAAATTTCCAGAATGGTACCCTATAAGAAGATAATTCCATATTACATAGCAACTGATAAATACAACATCACAGTATTGCATGGTTCATTTCCCTCCCCCCAACACCAATCTGGAGTGTTCTAGTAAATAGTTGTTTTGTTAGGTCTAGGAATATTTTTGGCCAAATTTTTCTTTTTTCCTATTACAACTGGTTTGCTAATAGATTTCTTTAGGCTTTAGAGTTATAATTAGAAAACAGTTACTACTTTGCATAATCAAATTGTAATTGCTATTTGGGTGAAATCCAACCAATTTAAGCATCAGTACTTCCAAAAAACCCCAAACAAAACAAAACACATGCACACACACACACACACAAAATGTCTGGCAAAAAGAAAATAACAAATGCCATACTCTAATGACCTAAGTTATCTAATAATGTTTGCCTATTAAGTTTTCTTTTCCTTTCTCTTTCTCTCTTTCTTTCTCTCTCTCTCTTTCTTTCTTTCTTTCTTTCTTTCTTTCTTTCATGAAACTGGCTAGCAAATGATATATGAATAACCAGCATATTTTAAGAAATCATAGTTTTAAATGACAATTAGTATTTTTATTAATATTCTCGGGCTGAAGCGATAGCACAGCAGGTAGGGTGTTTGCCTTGCACGTGGCCAACTTGGCCGACCTGAGTTCGATTCCTCCGCCCCTCTTGGAGAGCCCAGCAAGCTACCAAGAGTATCTCGTCTGCATGGCAAAGCCTGGCAAGCTACCCGTGATGTATTCTATAAGCCAAACACAGTAACAATTGTCACAATGGAGACGTTACTGGGCCCGCTTGAGCAAAATCGATGAACAATGGGAGGACAGTGACAGTGACAGTGATTAATATTCTAAATTTTCTAACGGCATAACAAAATAACATCACAGTATGGTATGGTTTTTGTAATAACAAAATTCACTTGCGATATGAACCTTACCCTATTCTTTTAGAGTTCAGCATAGGGGAAATGGGGTACAATCAGCGGTGCTCAAGGCTTGTTGCTTGCTCTGTGCTCAGGATCAATCAATCCTGGTGGTGTGGAGGTCATTTGAACATAGGGACAGCTGCATGCAAGGTAAGTATGGTACCCCTCTACTATTTCTCCAGCTTTCTAGTCTCTTGAGTGCAACTAGGGAAAATGTGGGATTGTGATGTTTTATTGTGATAAGCATTTCTTTCTTGTTTTTTTAAGACATCCCGTTGGCTGAATTTAGTCCTGAGTACGTAAAATTTCCAAGCACATATGTCTTTGAATTCAGAAATTTAAAAGCCCAGTTGCAGGCACTAGTTCCATGGACTGAGTAAATATAATTATTTCTAGCTGCTCAACCTCCTGTCTGCTTTCTAACCTGGTTCTCCAGCCTTCCCAGCAACTCTGTTTGCCTTTGAAAAATTTCCATCCATTAAATCAGCAAGTTATTTTCTGTCACTTACAACCAGGAAGCCTCACTTCAAAAATATATCAGACCTGTCAGTTTTTCTTCATCTTATCTGTCTCCACTTTCATCCAATCTACCATGCTATCTATCTTCAGCACGAACACAGTAGCTTCCCAACTGTACTTCCTGCACCCATTCCTGTCCTTTTGTAACTCAATCCACACATGAAGTCAAAGCGATCATTCCTAAATACAAAAGGAATCATATCCTTTTTTTCCAAAAAATTCTTCCCACTGGCCTGAACTCTTTAATACACTTTAATACAATCAATCCAGCTCAGGATTTGGTTCCTGTCTTACTCCTTCAGACTCATCTCCTGCCGCTCTCCACCCCATTCTGTCCTCGTTGGTTGGCCCTTCCCCCAGACCGCCTTCCTCACCTCAGGTCTTCCAGGCTGCTCTCCTTCATCTGGAATACCTTCCTGCCAACTCAGTCTACTCCTTCTGACTCACCCTGCAGGGCTCTGCTAAAATACCCTTTGCTCACAGTGGTGATGGAAATTTATTTGGTGGACGATGTGGAGGTTGGACCACATGTGTCTTGCTCAGCTAATGCTGTCTCTCTGCTACAGGGTCACTCCTGGCAGTGTTCGGGACTATCGGCAGTGCTGGAGAACAAGCCAAGGCCACTTGTGAGCAAGGCAAGCACCTGACCATTATACCATCTCTCTATCCTTTGCTTTATCTTTCATATTTCTATTCTAAAAGCAATGGAACTGAGAGGAGGTGAGAGGGAGGGAGGAGAGAAAGAGATCTAGAGATCATTTAGATACTTTTGCCCTCAATGTCAACATCTGTACTGTCAGTTCTGGGTACCCTCACCCCAAATTAGTGCTTTGTAATATCCTTAAGGTTGGGAAGTATTTTCTTTCATAAATGCCTGTGGTCCCAAAGGAAACAGAGCTTGCGCATACCTCACCCGGGCACTGCTACTGGCTTGATCCCCAGCAACATACGCCCCCCCGCCCCAGCACTGCCATGGCTTGGGAGGAAGCCCCCACAAAATGGAACTTCTTAAAGCAATCAACTGTCTCCAAGGTTATACTGAAATTGAATACTTATAAAAATCACTTGCTTTCGTACTGGAAATAAATGAGAAATAGTTTGAGGTGTTATTATATTCCACAATTTCTGATTCCATTATTATCATAAAAATCATCCTATTTCACTATTTGCTGGCACATTTTTTGATAACTAAATTCTTACTATAGCAACGAAAACAAGTGTGCTAGTGAAGAATTCAATAAAATGTAATATTTCCCATATTAATATTAATATGTCTAAATGATTCTTGTCACAGGGCATTCTCTTACATTCAAAATGAGTATAAAACCCTATTAATTTACCTACACTACACAGCAGCACAGGTTTAACTCGATTTTTAAGTTCAGTTGGTGAATTTGAGAGGGAAGAAAAATATTCTAGGTATCAGAATCAGAAAATGGCAAAAAACATTTTCCTTTTCCTCCCTTTTCATTATTTTCTCTAGAAATGACTGGAATTAAGAAATTTAACCTAAAAAAAATCTATGGATATTTTAAACCCATTAATACATAATAGTTTAACATATTAAATGGTCACTAGTAAGTCCTATAGAATTGCAAAGTGGTATTAAATTGGGGAAGTCTGTTTTTATCCCTAGCAGCTTAGAAAGAAAATCAAAGAAAATATAGCACCTCACATTTCAAACTCACATCTCATTTTTAACTACAACAAGTCAACCAAACAGCAGATATGAACTGTAGTGCCTCCCCAGTTCAGGATAGAATAAAACATTAAAATCCTCCCTCACCCTCCTGTTGCAGTTAAAGGAACTAATTCTAAATAACAACATGCACATTATATGAAAAATAATTAGAAAAGCAAATAATGACAAGTAGTTAAACAGAAGTAACAAATGTTTGAGTTTTTTAAAGGTCAAGAAAAAAAGGCTTATAATTTTTTAAGTGTGACAAATTTGGCAGCTTAATAGAAAAATGTATAATTTTTCTAGAGATATAGAGAGAAATGATATTTTAATTATAGAAAGTTAAACAGGTAGAAAAGGATTTATTCCTTTTCCAAAGATGCAATCTTCCTAGTTAAGCTGCTGAAAACCACTTAAGTACATGTAGAACTTTACTAACTATTGCTTACAAAGTTTAATTTAAATGATCTTTAGGGAAAAAATGACTTTTAGGGGAAAAATGATTTTTAGAAAACACATACCAAAATCCTGTGACTTTTCAAGTTACCACACTGTCTTTCTTACCTTCACCCAACAAATATGTTTTGAACCTCTAATGTAGAATAGAGCATGATTCCTGTGTAAGATACAGTATGAATCAATCAAGTGAAAATTCTGACCAATGCGAAGCTTATCTTCTAGCAGGATAAATGATAAGCAAGAAGGTATCAGGTCTACCGGATATATTCTACCACCTTTGCTCTCATTTTTATAAAGTACTGAGAACTGGCTCGATGCTACAGGATGTGGTTAAGTAAAACTATAATGTGATATAAAAAAAAAAAACCTTTCTGATAGTTCAAATAAACTTTCCTGGCTCAGTTCTAAGGCAGATCTGTCTTTAAAGGATTGCCCTGAGGTACAACAGATTTTTGCCAACTCTTTCTGGAGCAAGCCCCACACACATTTTTTAGTCTTAGTAAACCAGCTATCATTTTCTCACATCTTCTTTTTAAAAACTAAGCAACTCTTTAAAACCCTAAGACCATGCAGAAACAGGTCACGGGCAGAGTTTGGCTGCATCTCAAGAGAGTCGGAGGGAACCAAGTTCACCCGGTAAACAGCTAAGCCCAAACTGACATTCCATGCTCCCTTTCTCTCTCTCTCACTTTTATTCTCTAGCACATCATTAGTCATTTTCCAAATGTCTGATAAAGCATAGTTTTCTAGAGCTACTGTTCCAACTCTCACAGCCTCAGCGTCAGGTCTGGAGAGCCAAGGCCACCTGCTCTATGTGACACAGGGAACAGAGGCAAGTTCTCAACAGGTAACCTTTCATTCTGGACACTTTAGCAAGCGATGATGAGGGCTGGACATGGTCTCCCCGACACATGCAAAGCCTGATGCTTCCTTACCTTGCTGGAGGAACATCAATATTCGAGGAAACAACTTTCCGTTTCTGCTCCAGGAGACAGATGGAACGGGTGTTTTCTTTTTCGTGGTCAAAGGCCCGGTTGGCTTTTTTGGTGTCTGCGGTTTTCACATCTTCCTCCATGGCCAAGGAAAACAAGTGGTGATGAGACATTTTTTTACTACAGTCACGTTTTAAGTCTTCAGGTTGAAAAGTGAAGGTCATTTCCCGTTTAATGCTGCCAACCTGTGAAATAAAATAAGAAATTTCTTACTGGCCTAAAGCATTATCTTTGCATGAAGATGTACAGACAGTTGTGAAAAAAAGGCTTCGGGTATGGTCCCACCTGTTCAACTTGAAGTATTTATAGTTTAAGTGGAAAAATGTAGCGTGGAAATAAAATTATAAAATAATATGTATGTGATATATTAATGCATATTAGCAGGGGCTGGAGCGATAGCACAGCGGTAGGGCGTTTGCCTTGCACGCAGCCAACATGGCCGACCCGAGTTCGATTCCTCCGCCCCTCTCAGAGAGCCCGGCAAGCTACTGAGAGTATTCAATATGCCAGACACAGTAACAACAAAGTCTCCAATGGAGACGTTACTGGGCCCGCTCGAGCAAATCGATGATCAACGGGAGGGCCTTTACTTTTACTTACTTACTTTACAAAATAATATTTTAGGGCTAGAGTGATAGCACAATGGGTAGAGCACTTGCCTTGCACATAGCCAACCCGAGTTCGATTCTTCTGTCCCTCTTGGAGAGCTCGGCAAACTACCTAGAGTATCCTGCCCACACGGCAGAGCCTGGCAAGCTACCCGTGACGTATTTGATATACCAAAAACAGTAGCAACAAGTCTCACAATGGAGACGTTACTGGTGCCCGTTTGAGCAAATTGACAAACAACGGGAGGACAGTGCTACAGTACTACAAAATAATATATAACTAATGCATCATAAAACATAAAGCATACAAGATGCATCACAAACATGAGAAAAACTTTTCAAGCCCAAACAAACTTTTAAGACTTGAGGCATAAGGCTTTTAAAAAAAGAAATCTAAAACTTTCTCTTCTGTGAGAGAAAACTCAAGTAAATAAATTTTGTTGTTTTGGGGCCAGGGGAGAATTTGGGGACCACACCTGGCTGTGTTTGGGGTTTACTCCTGGCTCTTTGCTCAGGGATCGCTCCTGGTGGTATTCAGGGGACCATCTGCAGTGCTCGGGATTGAATGGGGTTAGCCACAATCAAGACACGTACAAGTGCCTTACCCCAGTACCATCTGTACAACCCCTCAAGTAAATAGGTAAAGGTAAAGGCCCTCCCGTTGATCGTCGATTTGCTCGAGCGGGCCCAGTAACGTCTCCATTGGAGACTTTGTTGTTACTGTGTTTGGCATATCGAATACGTCACGGGGAGCTTGCCAGGCCCTGCCGTGCGGGCGAGATACTCTCGGTAGCTTGCCGGGCTCTCCGAGAGGGGCGGAGGAATCGAACTCGGGTCGGCCATGTTGGCCGCTTGTAAGGCGAACACCCTACCTGCTGTGCTATCGCTCCAGCCCTAGTCCAGCCCAAGTCCTCCCTCAAGTAAATAATTTTTAAAAGTATTTTATGCTGATTATGTTTAATAGAAAGCTATAAATTTATAACCAATCCTTACATTGGCTATGAATATTAATCTTAATCACAATCTTTTAGTTCATAAAGACTCTTTTTTTTTTTTGGTATACCAAACAACTAAGGTCACAATGAAATCCTTTTACTCCTATGAAAAAAAGAAGTCCTATCAATTTTTCTTATCAGTTTTAACTGAAAGCAATGGTGATTATGGTTTAGGGGACAAAAGTTAAACCTCAGGAAACTAAATCAGTTATTTCAGATTTTGTGATGAATAAAAATGGAGATTAATATTAAGGGAAGAATTTGTAAAGGGATTAGTCTTGCAAATGAGGTTTGGAAGAACTTGTTAAAATCCCAAGCACGAAGAGGCAGACTGGAAATCTGGAGCCTTGCTATTAAGAAGAGTAGTGTATTTCAAAATACACATGTCTATAAGACATGTCACACGTCTTCGGGGAGTTAGTTCGTGGAGTCAGAAAATCTTCATTCACACACTTAAACAGAAAACAAGCTTTCTTCTTTTTTAACTTCAGGTATGATAAAAAAAATCCCAAAGAATTTGCTCAAATGGACTAAGAGTTACATAAACTAAAGTCACAAACATAAGGCATTTTCAGGATAAAATCAGAAGATGTATCCCAGTAAGAGTAAAGAATGACCAACAATGGAATTAACAACTAGAAATTCCAGACAAGAGGAAAACCCCGAGATATGTGAGTGCTGGAGTCACAGAATATGAGAATATGAGTCCCACATATGAGAATTTCCAGAGCCCAGGAGTAACTTGTGACTTAATATCCACTTGGCTGGAATGCCTCTTCCCCATGAACACAGACTCTAAGCTCTCTCCTCTCTGGTCTAGTTCTTGAACCCGACTTCTTCCATTCACATTCTTGTTAGCCCTTGTCTCAGATCCACAGGAAACCAGTCACTTTTGATTTAATTATTATTCATTCAAAAGGAACCATATTTCTTTCAATGAAATAAGAATCAAAGAAAAATAACTTTTAAAAGTTAACAACGTAAAAGACAACAATGCAAAGAGCCAAGTACCCAGGCAGTACCCTCCATGGAAGAGTATATGCCTAGAAGTTCCAGGTTCTGGGACTGAGCCCCTATTCCTCCAGGAGCTGTCTCTGTGCACCTCAATAAAAATAAAGAGAAAATGACAGTGTACCAGAGAGAAGAATGAAAAATGTTTCAAACTTAAAAAATGCAACAAATGTTCAATAAAAACGAGGTTTGGAAAGTCAACAACTATAATTAAAAGTATTTTGAATGTTAATCACTCTATAGAACTATAGAAAATTATATACAAATAAGTTCCTGTACAACTTATTCTGCCTGGAAGTAGGAATGAGAGATGTTTATTCACTCCTACCCAAGCCTGTACCCAGCCTCTATTACGATAGGAATACTCCAAACAGCAGGCAGAAAGGATGAAAACAAAGGCCTAGTTTTGATGACTGTGAATAGTTTTCTCCTAAATGTCAAGTATTGCATTAATTAAATACACATGTCTTTGTTAATTTTAAGTTATATCAATAACTGACATCCATACCTCCTCTGGGACCAATCTGCCTACTTAAATGAATTCAACCCAAAGAAAAGTGGGATTGGCAAAAAAATAAAATGTTACAGTCAGTTCAGCCTTTAGCTGCAATATTTTGCAATTTGTTTTTTAAAAAGCATTTAAGGTAATGTAATAAATTTTTTTAATTTCCTATAGAATTGTATGTCATGCTCTGAGCCAGAACAAAATATAATAGTTAATAGTAATGTAACAATGTAAACTGTAAATCTTTTACACTACTCCAAACAAAATTAACCTCTAAAAATAACCAGAAAAATTTAGCAATATCGTAAGTTTCAAAGACAATTTAGCCCAGACTAATTGTTTTTAAATGGTATTATAATGAGTATAAATCACAAAAAACTCAAACATATTATAGAAATGAGTAAGATATATTTGAGATATTCTGAATCATGGCTTCTATCTGTAAGGTTGACGAAAGGAGTGAGTGATGTGTATAGCTTATCATATGCTTTAAATTTTAAATACCATTACACTACATGGTCTTTTTAATGTTTTTATTGATATCAAATATTATAGTAAAACATCTTTCATTGGAGAGAAGTGGGAGGTCATATAGTCAAGCCTTGAAAAGTTAGGAAATGACCAAGAGAAAAGGGTCATTTCATTTTCATAGTTGCTGTGGATACTCAAAACTATAAATAACTATTAAAAACAGAATAGATAAAGAAATAGAAAGATATTTTCTGATCATATATTATAAGATTTAACATTATTAAAAATCATCCTACTCAACAAAATGCAAAGATTCAATGCACCCACTATCAAAGTTTTAACGGTATTCTTAAAAAAAATTACTGAAATGTTATTGTTCCAAAGACCCTGAAGAGCTAAGCAAATTCAGAGGAAAAAGAAAATGGGAGACATCTCATTCACCAAGTTTAAACTCTATCACAAAGGTATCATAATAAAAACAGTATGGCATTGGAAGAACTGCAGACACAAACACCAGAAATAAACCATCACACACATATAAACAGATGATTTACCACAAAGAAGTCAGGTGCATGAGTGGAAAAAAAATCTCTTTTCAACAAATGTTGAGAAATTTGGATAGTCACATACAACATAATGAAACTGAGTTACTATTTTATAATATGCACAACAATTAACCAAATAGATTGAAGATTTAAATATTAGACCCCAAAATAATAAAAGACATAGAAGAAAATAGGCAAGACATTTCATGATACTTGCTTAGTGGTGTCATAAGGGGAATTAAATTCCATAGGCAAAAATACAAAAGTAAAAATAAACAAATGTACTGCATCAAACTAGTCCCCGTAGGCTGAGGACATGCTTGGAATGCAGAAGGCCCAGATTCAATCCTGAGCACCTCATAATTCTCCACGCATAGCTTAGAATCAGTCCAGAGCACTGAGGCAGGAGTAACCTCTGTGCACTGCTAGGTGAGACCCCCCAAGCCAAACAAAACAGAACAAAAAATAATCTTCACAAGATAAGAAATGATTATTAAAACAAAAGAAAATCCCACTGAATTGGAGAAAAACACTGATGGCAAGTAGGCACGTGGAAAAATACTCATTGTCACTATCATTGAGATGAAAATGACAATGAGATAACACCTTTATATCTGTGAGAATGGCACATATTAAAGAAGTCAGAAACAGCAAGCTCTGGCAGGTTTGTGGAGAAAGGGGAACATGCATTCCTTCAATCATTCATTCATTTTTTGATGGCTATGAGAACTCTTTAAGCCTCTAGAAAACAGAATAAAGTCTTCTTTAAAAACACTGAAGACTAAACAATCATATAATTCAGCAATTCCACTCCTAAGTATCCATCAAACACAAAAACAGTACTAATGTAAGAAGATAGGTACTAACGTAAGGTTTGTGTTCATTGCAACCCTATTTATATGGTCAGGATGTGGAAATAACCTGAGTCCAGAAATGAGTGAACAAACATGTGGTACACAGTAGAATTCCATTCATCTATGAGGGAAAAAATGAAATATCGCCTTTCAAGGATAGAACCAGAAGTCATGCTAAGTGAAATATGTCAGAAGG